TACTTTTCTCTTCCCATCATTTTGGTACAAGTTAATCTTGGTGAATTCAAGTGAATTCAAACTCAGTGAATGCAAGCGTGGTACCGTGATAGGTTGCCACCTGTGCAATAAGTCCATTCGTGAAATTTCCTCACTATTAAATATTCCATGGTCAACTGTTAGTGGTATTATAACAAAGTGGAAGCAATTGGGAACAACAGCAACTCAGCCACGAAGTGGTAGGCCACGTAAAATCACAGACCGGGGTCAGCGCATGCTGAGGCGCACAGTGCGCAGAAGTCCCCAACTTTCTGCAGAGTCAATTGCTACAGACCTCCAAACCTCGTGTAGCTTTCAGATTAGCGCAAGAACAGTGTGTAGAGAGCTTCATGGAATGGGTTTCCATGGCCGAGCAGCTGCATCCAAGCCTTACATCACCAAGTGCAATGCAAAGTGTCGGATGCAGTGGTGTAAAGCACGCCGCCACTGGACTCTAGAGCAGTGGAGACTTGTTCTCTGGAGTGACGCATCACGCTTCTCTGTCTGGCAATCCGATGGACGAGTCTGGGTTTGGCGGTTGCCAGGAGAACGGTACTTGCCTGACTGCATTGTGCCAAGTGTAAAGTTTGGTGGAGGGGGGATTATGGTGTGGGGTTGTTTTTCAGGAGTTGGGCTTGGCCTTAGTTCCAGTGAAAGGAACTCTTAATGCTTCAGCATACCAAGACGTTTTGGACAATTCCATGCTCCCAACCTTGTGGGAACAGTTTGGAGCGGGCCCCTTCCTCTTCCAACACGACTGTGCACCAGTGCACAAAGCAAGGTCCATAAAGACATGGATGACAGAGTCTGGTGTGGAGGAACTTGACTGGTCTGCACAGAGTCCTGACCTCAACCCAACAGAGCACCTTTGGGATGAATTAGTGCGGAGACTGAGAGCCAGGCCTTCTCATCCAACATCAGTGCCTGACTTCACAAATGCGCTTCTAGAAGAATGGTCAAAAATTCCTATAAACACACTCCTAAAACCTGTGGAAAGCCTTCGCAGAAGAGTTGAAGCAGTTATAGCTGCAAAAGGGTGGGCCAACTCCGCATTAAACGCTACGGATTAAGAATGGGAGGTCATTAAAGTTCATATGCATGTAAAGGCAGATGTCCCAAAACTTTTGGCAATATAATGTGTGTGTGTGTGTATATATATATATATATATATATATATATATATATATATAAAGTGTACGTTTGTAATATAGATTAGAAAATAGCTACATAATATACACACAAACACGGGAGCTTGTATCATAGGGAAAAATAGGAGTGCTAAAAACACCCAAGTGTGAATTAAATACTAACAATGGTGTTTATGAAAGCTCCACTACAGACAATTTAGAGATGCCAGTCAGCCTACAACACATGTCTTTGGACTGAAGGAGGAAAGCGGAGTACCCTGCGAAAACCCCCAGACATGCAAGCAGCATGCACACAGGGCAGAGGCAGGAATCGAACCCCCAGCCCCGGAGATGTGAGGCAAATGTGCTAACCACTTAACTACCGTGCCGTCTGAGTATCTAAAAGTTTCAGTAGTGTGCATTCATCCTGAAACCCTGCAGGACTCAACAATTAAAGCTGTGGGCATGGAGGTTTTTAGTCTCATGCGAGCAGGAGTGAGCAGTCAGAAATGAGGAGTGTGGGACAAAGAGAAAAAGCACACAGCTTTTGACCACTACTTCATAATAAGATTAAGCTTACCTTTACAGGGTTTGCCAGGGTTTTATGTTCAGGTGGACTTGACCATAACTGTGTCTTTTTTTCATATTTAAGTGAATAGTCTAATTCAATTTGTGTTCAGTCTGACTGCTCCTGTCTTAACAAAACCCAACTCAGAAGTCTAAACAGTGCAAATAAAATATTTTTTGTGTGTTCATTAAAAAGAAAGACCTTCTTAATAGAGGTTAAACAACATGCAATTATTTTGGGGAACTGGTCTGGCTAAGTTTATTAGAAAATAATGCAAATGGATGTGTGCCAAAAAGTGTCTACAGTCATGCGCTCAGCTCATGGAAAAAAAGAAAAAAAAAAATCAGAAGCAACACTGCAATGCAACCCAGGTATGTTAGTAGTGTTTATAATTTACTCAACTGTTGCAGCTCCACTGTTAAGAAAATGGTGACTCTTACCGGTTGGCTTGGTGGTGGTGTGTGTGTTAGGTAGATCTGGCTGTTGTGGTGAGGGCGAATCTGGGAGCTGCCCTGATTCCAGAGAAAAGCTCGGAGACTCTAGACCATTTTCTTTCCTCTCTTCCTGAGCGACGGCATTCAGAATCCTGGCTAAAGCCTTTCCCTCTGCTGGGGCTTTGGCAACAGCTGGAGTGTGCACGGTCCTCTCAGACAAGCTCTTCTGCACCTGCACAGGAAAACATCTTTAATTAATAGTGCAGAGATTATGAATCAGTTCCAAGTGGTTCCAAGTTTTGCTGTTACCATGCATAGCAGAGGTCTAGTGTGCTATAAATGCAGCTGGACCTTGAAAATGGAAAACCAGCCACTATGAATATTCAGTCATCCAGGTCTTGTAAAATGTCTAGAGACTAGATTTTTTTTCTCTTGAGTTTAAGACGTTACCAAAGAAGCTGAAAGAGCAAAGTCGTCTGTCCTGAAGGCTATCCTGTGGTGAAAAACCGACTGACAAAGCAAAGCACTGACAATCCAGACTCTGCAGAAAGCTTCACTATATCAACGTTTACACATTTTTCTTTAAGTAAAATACATGTTTAATATACTTTTATTATTAGTCGTAGATTATACAGAACGTCCACTATAGACGTGACGTTTGCATTACAACCAGCACTACTGTCAGGGCTGCTGTTATAGAAAATAAATCAACACCTTCAGATCAGATCTGAATACAACAGCGCTGTGATACAAAACTATTTATTATTTCTAAATCTTTATTCAGGTTGCACGGACAACTAAACCAGTGTCCTGACAAATGGCAGATGTTCATAGACACTTCTTTAACGTCCACTGTTCGGGTAGCAGAACGCATCAATCACCGTATCCATAATCGTAAGGTTGATGGTCAGGCTGATCTAGCTGTGCAAGGCAACTCTCCTTTCACACACACAAGTTGAGAATGTTTACCAAAAAAAAAAAGGACATTAGCAGTACCTTGTTAAGGACATTGCGAGGTGCTGGTTCAGGTGCTGATGTTGGTACTGGGCCTGGGCTGGATGTTGGCACAGCGTTGGATGTTGGCACCGGCCCTGGGTTCGAGGTGGGCGCTGCACCTGTGTGCACCGGGGCAGGAGGTACAAATCGCGGCTTCTTAGCAGCATTGCCGTGGAGAAGCTGACTTGGCGCCGCAGACCTGCGCATCCTGTTGTAGTTGATGAGGAACACAACAATCACAATGAACACAATCCAAATCACATTTACGTAGCGTATAGTGCTGCTGCCTCACAGCTCCAGGATCCTCAATTCGATCCTGACCTCAGGTTAATATCTGAGTAGGTTCTCTCTGCATTTGTGTTGGTTTCCTCCTGGTTCTCCGGTTTCCTCCAAACTCCCAAAAACATATCGGACTACTCTAAACTGTCCCAGGTGTGACTGAGTGAGTGACCACGATGCCCTCGCATCCCAACCAGGGCGCCTCCCTGCCTCACACCCAGTGTTCCCGGGAATAGCTCCAGATCCACCATGACCCTGACCAGGATAAAGCTCTTAGTGAAGATGAAAATCACAGTTATTAATGATGCTTCTGAATATAAGTCTGTCAATCAAAGTCTTCTAGAGAGGCAATGTTAAGTTCCATGATATGTGTTGGAATTTATTTCCAGACAAATGAAACATACAAGTAAAGTTGTCAGTCAAAGCTGGTTAGCTGACTAACTACTGGAAAAGCCCAGCTGTTTCACTCAGACACATGAACAGCTGCAGAACTGAGAGGCGCGTGAAGAGAAATATAACTTCCTGTTTCCACTACAAACATTTAACATGGCAATTAGAAACATTACAAACATTTAACATGACAATTAGAAACATTACAAACATTTAACATGACAATTAGAAACATTATATATTAAAACTAACGCCTGTAACTAATAACTTGCCTGTTTTGTTGGGTTTTGTCTGTATTTACGTTGATTCAGTCATTATTTATTTTGTAGCTAGTTTGTTAGCCACTGTACAGCCGCTGCGTCCCTCTCAAAATGCGCGCAGTTTCCCCCGGAAATGACGTGTACGGTTTTGATTGGTTGAAGGGGGAAAAAAACGCGGATTTTTTTATTTTTTATTTTTGTAGTTCTAGTAACACCGCTAGAATAGTACATATGTAAGATATGAATGAACAACAGTGCAAAGGGAATCTTCACAGACCCTGAAATATATATTTAATTCAGTTTCCGTAGGTTGAAATATCAGATACGTCAAGCGTGCTGACATCTTGGAAAGGGCAACTTTCCATGTTGCGCTCATTGATTTGATTCTCATCAAACGAAGACAAGTAACCAAGTTTTCTCCAAAATGCCCGCGCATTGTACAGCTTCTGTATGGGAGAATCTAGTGATGGCAAAATGAAGCTTTCTGAATCAGTGACGCCTTTCTGTTTCTGGAAAAGAGTTCTTTATTTGAAGCTTTTCAACAAAGTGCACGTTACTGCCATCTCGTGGCCAAAAGGATGAATTGCAGATAGTAATTTACTGGGTGCTAGTGGAAGAGGGGTTTAGGGCGCTTTTCAAAAAAAAAAAAAAAAAGTTGGCTTTGATTTTGCCAGTGAGATTATCAATACAAGTTTCTTATACACAGCCAACTTCAGTTGTTGATATATGTTTTCCCTTTGTTTCTCTTTTCCTTGCTTCTTAGCCGTCTCAATAACTACAAAATATTTCTAAAATATCTTCTGCGTTTCTTTTGGATCAGTTTCTAAAGTAGTCCTGTGGTTGTGTGCCCAAATGGAGCTTCAGAGATCTGTCATTGGTCACATGTGAAATAAAAATGTACCGGGGTTTTGATTTGTTTTGTTTTTTAACACACATGCCTCAGAGCTTCAGTATCAAAGGTGACATCACTATAAGATTCACATTAAAATGAGGTACATGGTGTACAGTGAGTTTACAGTAATGCAATAAATCTGAATATTTGTTAGTACAGATGAAGATTGTGGATATTTGTCAGCTTTGTGTCTGATCTGTTTATCACAGTGTAGTTTATGATAGAGGCCATGTCTGAAACACTTTCACCAAGTGACAGTTTTAACTTTGCCTTAAGTAAACTTACACCTCTAACTCGCAGTGTCTGCTGCATGAAGAAAGACAAGACTGTGGCTTTTAACCACCGAGACACCTGAGAGGGCTTGAAAACTGATGCCTCGCTCACGTTGCTGGCTGAGAAGTAATTATTTTGTTTGGTAGGCAGTGCTGCCAAGTCTTTTCAGGGGAAAGTAGCTACAGCATGCCCACAAAGTCACTAGAAGTCACCAGAGCTTGCCATGGACTGATTTGCATATTAATTGAATTGTCATTAGCATTTGCATATTGAAGCGTGTTACGTGGAGGAGGAAGATTTTCTGAAGATAGTGATGGGAAATAACTTGTTTTTATTACTAGTAAATATAGTTTAAAATGAAGAACAAAGGAGTGTGCGGGTGGGACAGATTAGTGATTGGTCAGAGGGAACAATGATGATCAGTGATTGGCAGGAGGGAACAATGTTGATCAGTGATTAGTCAGAGAGAACAATGATGATCAGTGATTAGTCAGAGAGAACAATGATGATCAGTGA